GTACGGTTTAGAATCGCTGTAGTTCAATCGGATTCAGAAAGTTGGTTTAGATAGAGAAAGCAAAAGCAGGAAGTGAATCAATTCTAAGATAATCAGTTAAATCTCCAAGAGCTTGTCGTAGATTCTAATTGGGTCAGAGGCAGTTCGTATAAAATCGACAAGCGAAGAGGAAGTGGGACTTATAAGACTAATAGAGTAAGTGGATAGTAGATTAATCAGCGAGAATTTACGGAAGTCTAGATATCGAAGTCCTGAAGTTTTTGACATGAGGTTTAACAAACAGGGATGGAAGTTATGGGTTTCAACCAAAAAACAGTATTTGGCTCAACTTCGTGCGGTTCTAGTAGGTGTTTATCCTTCTAGCTTAAGGCATGTTAGATAGAAAGCAATAGAGGAGTATGGACTATACTAGATTTAATCGGGAGGAAGATGGATAGTAGATTAATCGGGAAGTGACAGTCTGTGAAATTCTTGGATATATCGAAGTCTGAAGTTTTTGACATGATTTACAAACAGGATGAGTTTTTGACATGAGTTTACAACAGGATGAAACTTATGGCTTCCAAACCAAAAACTGTTGATTTGGTTCTAGTTCTTGGGTTCTAGAGGTGTTTCAGTCATTCTAGCTTTAAGCATGTTGAGAAATTGGACAGCTGGAATTAGTAGTATTTCTAGCTACTGTTGTGTCAAATTCTAAAATGAGAATCAACGAAGTTTCAGTAGTTCTGTTAATAGATTTCTGCCACTTCATGTGAGAGCAAATTGTGATGATTAGTGAGGATATTGGAGTTGCTACTTGATGTGAATCAGATGTCAACTAATGGAAGATGATCAGGTAATGGTTGTCACTTTCCTCAAGAATAAACAGTTGTAAATCTATATGTATTATGTGCTGTGTTCAGTTTAATGAAGCTGTATATTGAGTTTCCAAATGCTTCACTTTATATTTAGCATGATTTTAGTGTTTGTGACTTGTATGATTGATTTCTGCTTCTCTGCTGCAAATAGATTGATGTACTTGAAAAATTCATAAGCTGATCTGAGGCAGGTTGCTTCGTTACAGTTCATGAGGATCAAGATTGAAAATAATAAAATGTTGTTTTCTTGCTACGAACTAATGAACAATTTGCCAGATTTTGCATGGCTAAAACAAAAAATTACTGGCATTGCTAAAACTTATCCAAATCCTCCCTTCTTCCTTCCACCTCCCCCTCATGTGCACTTGGGAATTAAAAAAAATGAAAAAGAAAAGGAGTATTTTTATGCCAAGTATGGGCACTATTTGGTTTGGACTTTGGTAGGAACCGAAAACGACTGACCTGTACGTCCAGGGTCCTTTTGCTGATTTTTACTGATATAGAGTGAATAAGTTAGATCCTCGAGAGGAGACTAATGGTTGAGAGGGCAGATAAGTGGATGTAATCCTAATCTAATATTTACATTAATCAGTTATTGTTTATGTTGTGCTTATGTGGGGATTAAGGAGAATCATTAACAATTTTGTATTGAATATTATAAGGGAATGAAAATAATTTATCAGCTAACACTAAAATGTTCAAAACTGAGTCAGGCCAAATTGGCTTCTGTTTGGGAAGTTCCCATCCCTTGTTGCATGGACTTCAGATCGACTATCAACTAGTATAATGCATCTGGGATTACTTTTAAGTAGCCAGCGGTGAATAATCTCTACACTGTACTCAGATAGAAATGTTTAAAAAGTGGAAGTTGCAGTGCATGGATGTTTAGATTTGTTTTTTTTTTTTATGGTTTTTGATTTCGAAGTGCCTGAGATATAAGCAAATTGATTTAATGTGTGTTGAAGTATCTGAATATATTTTGCATTTCATATCAGGTCTTTTGATAACACACAACAATCTAGGATAGATAGCCTCAACAAATCTTTAGACATTTTCTATTAGGAAGAAAGGGTGATGTAGCATCATAGACACAGAAGGTCCTTGTGGCTTGCACCAGTTAGTGTAGAATTCCTTTTAGCGTTATGGACCAGTGACTCATTTTCTCTTTGATTGTTGATGCATATTATTAAGCCTATAATTTGGCAAGCCAATGCTTTAAATGTTTGTGATTGGGTTGTGTTTGAGTAATCTGCAGCAGATAACCTGTAAATTGTATTCAAATGGAAATGTTTAAATAGTGAAAGTTGATAGACAATGTAAGTTTAGATTTTTTTTTTATATGCTTTGTATCTTTTAAATGTCTACTTATGAACATATTGATTTATTATGCTGTTGAAATTATTGAACTTTTGGTGTATTTTGTATCAGCTGTTTCTTTCCAATGACATTCGGCAATCTAACATAGATGACTATAAATCTTTAAATAGTTTGTATTAGGAACATTGATGTATAACATCATAGAGAATCGTTGGGGTTGCACTGACTACTGAAGAAATCATTGAAGCATTATGGACTATCAACTCTTTGCCTCTGTGATTGTTGATGCATCAAAGCTTAAAAGCATATTTTGAAGTTTTAGAGAATTTATAAATTTTGACTGCTAGTACCTAAGGTTTAGTAAACAAATATGGTACATGGTTGAGACCTATTACCTGGGTAAAGGCTGGAAACCATTGTGGTTTAGTGATGAAACTTGAATTTGATATCTTGATTAACTGACCCTGCTACTTAGGGGTGGCTGGTTCAATGATCTAGCAGTCACAGTCCTAGAAAATTAGGAACTGGGATCAGAATTCGTCCTCCTGATTTTAGTCTAGTTTTGGTTCTAGTGAGGCTCAGTATTGGTGCCTTTTTTTTTTTTCTTGCTGGAACCCTAAACTGGAACCAACCTGGTCCCTTTGGTTTGGGTTTGAAGCAGGAACTTTCAGGCTGATTCTGGTCCAGTTACAAACCAGTCTGATTTCTGGTCCAAGCTGGATTGGTGGCTAGCTGATAGCATTCCAGATCCAGGCCCAAGGCTTATTCTAGAAGGGGCAACAAAAGAGTATAGAAAATGAATAATGATGGAATCAAGACAAGCTTTACCACGTCAGCTAGAATTATTTTTGTACTTCCTTTTTAAAGTAGCACAGACAAGTGGGGGGAAAGGAGTGTATCTTTTGAGCATTCTGTTATTTTGGCAGTTATCTGCACGCTAAGCCTGGGGTTGCTGCAGCCTCTTTGTCTTTTTTCCTGTCTTTGATTGTAATTGCTGTTTCCCCTTGTAATTCTGTTTTCCCTTGATTTCCAAGAATATTCACCAGCAGCTGTATTGACAGATTTGGCTTAATACAAATTTTCCTCATTCCTCATTCACTCTAGATTTTCTTTAACTTTTATTGAGAATATTGTTTGCATCGTTCTTTTACTCTAACACTAGCTGTGCTGGTAAAATATTGCATGTTGAAATTAGGTGTTGATTTTATTAAGTAGCAGGGTGTCTTGGATATGTATATATGTGAGTGTGTATCTGTAAGGCGGTGGATGCTGAATAAATATCAACTTTTGTTTGTAACTAGGTCATGTTTTTGGGTCTTCTTAAACATATTAATTACAAAGAAAAGGAAATATATATTTAAGTGAAGTACTATTTAGTCCTGAGGTTATATTCAAATAAATTAGTCAGAGGCCCTTATTTTCAGAACTTAATTAGGTACTTCCTCTGTATTATCTCCACTACTTAATCCTTCTTGTATTAGAAAATCACTTGTTTTTTAGATGGAAAGGTTGCCAATAGCATGCAAAATTAGAGAAAAGTCCAATCGGTCAAAGACTTATTGAAATTTCTTTTTTTCCATTGAACATAATTTGCAAGTGAGAACCTTCAAGAACCTTTTTTCCCATTCTGTTTGGATTAATCGTGGTATTATTCTTTAGTCTTTCCTACAGAAATAATCATTTAATTGGTTACGCATGGCCAATATCGTCCTATGCTTGTGACATGCCAATTATAACACAATTGTGTGAAGTAATGCCTCTAAAACGTCAGATAAAGGAACTCTCTCATTTATCTACATTAGGCTGCATATTTGAGAATGGATTCTAGTATCTTTGCTTTCTGTTGGATGCATGCCTGCTGTTATAGTCCAAAGACCAGGTGTCTGCCTTTTATTGTCAAGCCTTAGGTCTCTTCTGCTTTACATCAGTATGTTGGCAGGACCTGCAAATATCAAAATTGATCTATTGCAAAACATGTTGGTATAAGGTTGTTGCAATTGACCTAAAACTGCACCATGTTGTCCTCTAAAAATTATCTGGTCGCTTTCTTGGCCTGATTATTTGGACTGCCAGAAAAGAAGAAACATAAAGAAAAAGCACCGGAAACTATGAGAAAGTTTAGATTGATTGTAGGTTCAGACAGATATACATTGTCTTAAAATTATCGCAAATCATACATTCTTGACCAACCTTATCTAGTTTTTAGGGTTTGTTGGCAATGGCTGGTAAACAATGCCTCGGTGCAATTGTTTTGTTTATGTTGTTTCTTATGTTCAGATGACTATTACTTGTATGCTTGTTCCTTTTCTGTCTGTGTCTGTCTCTCACATTCATGCATGCACGCACACATGGTCATGCTGAATGAGCATTAAATTCTGGATTGTTTTTTCACCTTTGAGATGCCTCATGCATGCATTATCCTGGACTCTGTATCTTTAATATATATCCATTGATTGGTCCTACTGCCAGGATCATCCCCAATACGATAGTGCGGTATATCTCCACGCAAAACCTTATCTCTTGGGGATGTTAGTTTTTTCTGCACTTGAAGATGGGCCAATAATCTTGTTTAAAGCACAAGATAATCTCATTTGATTCATCTCCACATCGAGTTTCCAAGTACTTGTTTTGTTAAGCTAAGGGAATTAATCATAACTTGGTTCCTGTGAGATTACAGTGCACTTTGATTTTGTTGACAATCATCTGAGTCAACACTTTTTCTTCCACAACTTTTCCTTCTAGGGCATTAGTGGTATAGTGGCTGTTGCACTGATCTTCCACAACCGTTCATACCCATGTTAGTGGATTCCTTTTTCTGTTCTGTTTTTAAATGTTGTTGCAACTCATCAAAATTTTGACTTTACAGGGAGATGATATGAGCTTTATCACGCGGATATTCATCTTTTTTGGTGCATAGATAAGACATTTACTTGTGTCAAGTGAGAGGTGGTGACATGTTCTTTTGCTTGATGTTGAGTTGAAATCTGGGTGCTTTTCCTTCACAAAAATGTATGCAAACGTTCTTGTGGTTTTAATTAGTACACGAGTTAGTCAGCTTAAATAATGGTAAGCTAAACTTTCTTGTTTTGTTCAGGAGTTGCTGTTTCTGTACTACATACGAGAAAACAGTAAGTTCCATTGTCATTATGTGTCTTGCATGCAGATCATTTAGAGTGAGTTTGGCAATAAACTAACCAGTTTATGGAATAACACCCTTTTTATCTGTTTGAAACAAAACAGTTTGAAACTGTTGTTAGTTTTGAATTTTTATGATTAGATCATGTCCAATTTGCTCCAATTCTAGTATAATGCTTTCTTCAACTACAAATCAAATAGTTTTTGCTTGGAATGATAAGGGGAGAGATTATGGTCTCAACTAGTTGTGCTCCCATCAAGACGTATGCTGCTACTAATGCTACCTTTTCTTTCCTATTTATTTTCACTAGCAGGTCTATGTATTGCGTCTAATTGGTGGATGCAAAATATGGGAATTAGATGGAGACAAGTTGGACATGTGCTGAATAAAATATAAATCCAGAGGATTAGATTGTCTATATGAATCAATTTGTTTCTAATGGCAGTGTAACAATATTAAAAAAAAAAAAAAAAAAAAAAAATTCATTTTTTTTATATTCCCCAAGTGCTACTTTTATCTTCACTAGCAGTCTAGTATTGCGGTAATTGTGATCAAAGATGGAATTAGATGAGACAAGGCTTGGACATGCGAAATAAAATATAAATCCAGAGGCATTAGATTGTCTATAGACATCAATGTTTCTAATGCAGGTGTAACAAAAAAAAAAAAAAAAAAAAAAAAAATTTTCACCATAAAAGTTATTGAAATTGCATAAAAGGAAATCCCATTTTGTGCCCTATACTTTTCTAGTTTTTATAAAATTAAAAAAATTTAGGGACATTAACATGTGTTTTACCTCATACTTATCTAACAAGCATCACTTCAATGGGGGCAACAGTTGGTATCTTTACAGAGGATATAGTGGGTGTGAAGGGACAGTTTCCAGCTTAAGCACAAAAGTTAATCTGCCTGACTCAGCAACCAAAAATGATTTTGGTTCTATCAACCTTTTTAGAGCAATCATGGCCCAGATTAGCGACAGAAATTAAAGATTTAGCAGCAAAAAGATAAGCACAACCCAACCTCTCTCTCTCGCTTTCTAAACTTTTCTCTGAAGTGAAAGCTTTAAAGTAGATGCATACTCAAATTTGATTAATTTTGAATTTAGTTTTTTAATTTATAAAAAATTCTTAATTTTTCAATTTAATTAATGACTAATAGACAATGAAATTAGTATTATTTAGTAATTATTTTTTTGTCTGAGTAATAAGCATTAATAGTGATTTTGTGTGTGGAAAAATTATTTTTTTCCAATGTATGGTTATTATATATGATTATTTTTACAAAATATCAAATAAACTATCATTATTCAGTCATGTGTGATTTAGTTGGATTTTTCACTTATGTAAAAAGTAAAAGGCCTCGAGTTGAAGTTCTTTCGACCATAAGTATTTTTTATTAATTTGGTAAGTCTAAAGGAGGGCTGTAATAATAGTTTTTTTTTTTTTTTTTCAAAATAAACAAATTATTTCTTGAAAATTGAGCTGAGAAAATAAGTAAAACATACTAGAGTTTTTAAAAAATGGGCTGACATAATAATATATATATATTTTTAAATAAACAATTTATTTCTTGAAAATTAAGCTGAGAAAGTAAGTAAAAATTACTATTTGTAGTTTTTTCTTTAGCAATTCGTTCTTTTTTAAAATAAATATTACAACAACTAAACTTTAATTCAAAGCTAATTGAGGTAGATATATAAATCTTTATTTCCATTTGGCTCTATTTTAAAATGCAAATAATAAAATAAATAATTTAAAATGGGAATTCTTTCTTCTAAATTTGAAAAACAAAAGCTAAAAATAAAAAACAAAAATAAATAAATTTTCAACGGATCATACTCAAATTGAGCTCGAGTATTTTTGAATCATTTTGGAGCCTAATACATGATATGAATTATCAACAAACGTTCAATTTAATTATGTCCCTCAAGATGTATGAGTTTTTTTAATTCATTAAAAGATATAATAGACTGAAATGACACCGAGAGCTACAAAATAAAGGTAGTTTTTCCCTTAACTCATTAAATAGGTAAAAACTCTTCGTGTGAATGAAAAAACTACTAGATTAGACCTTGTTAACAAGAAATTATATAAGTTGATGAGAGAGAGTACTTCTTATTTGACATATGAATATAGCAATAAGAAGGGATGAGCATCATGCTATGTAAATATCTTAAAAGCCAACCAAATTGATGCTTTTTAGTTCTCTCAATTCTTTTTGGTCATGTTTTAATTTTTTTGGAAAAAGATTAATTATTTCAATTTTATTTTATTTTAATTATAAAAAATATATATTTATGGATATAATATACATAAGAGTAGTGACAAAACCATGTTGAACAGAATTGTCCCTCTTCTCTTAAAAAACACGCACAAAAAAAAGTAGAAATTACTTTGCAAATCTTGCGGTGTAGATTCAGAATTTGCACTTTTCTTTATTATTCTCTTTACCTTCAACCTCTTTTGATTTAGATATTTAAAGATTTGTCCCCTAAAATTGCTATGTTCGCCTATGTATTAGAGCACATTTAACATTTTTAATTTTTTTTTTTTTAATTTCATATTTAGAAGTGTGAGTTTTCTTCAACACCATGTTGGTTCGACTTTCTTCCATTTTTCGACTTCCTTTAAATTTTAAACTGAATAGACTTTTATTTTTATAAGGTAATGGCATTTTGTTATGGTTTAATTATTTTAACTAATTTACTTCACTTTTCAAAAAAAAAAAAAAAAAAAAAAAAAAAAAAAAAAAAAGCTCTTACTACTCTTTCACAAAAAAAAAAAAAAAAAAAAAAAAAAAAACTGAAAAAAAAAAAAAAAAAAAAAAAAAAAAAAAAAAAAAACTGAATAAACAAATTAGTAACTTTGATGTTTGAATTGTTAATTGGAGAGGAAACCAAAATTCAGCAACACTATTTTTCCCCCTACTATCCAAAATCCCTCTCCCTAATGTTGAAAATGATAAATGAATTCTATTAGTTCCAGTTTATTTGATTGAGATGAATATACTAAGAACAGAATAGCATAAAGTTGGATTGTATTAGATTAGATTTCACAAAGATATGCCTCATTATTCATAGACACACCTCTCTACTTGAATAGACAGCAGCCAAACCTGTCCATGGTTCGATACAAAAAATATTACACAAATAGTAATCCAATTTTGCTAATTTTATTTCTTTAGTTACAATTTTTTTTTAGTTATTAAAAAAGGATATTCGAATTTAGATCTATAGTCAAATTATATATGCACTTACCATCAGATTATAATTTCTAGAATGATTCTATTTTGAAATGGAGGAATTATTTAATAATAAATCGATAATAAATTTACGCTTGTGATTAATTTGATTATAGGTAGATCAACCACGTTGGTATTATACATGATTTATAAGTGTGGAAAAAAAAAAATTCCATTTATGATCGGATTCTAAGACTAAGAGCCTAGAATTTAGAGGCAAGTTAATTATGATTAGAAAAATTGCAGTGCTCCACCATGAAAAGTTGCGCACTCTCCATCAAACCATAGCCACCAGACACCCTATGTGTCGAAGTTGCAATAAATTGAATCTACACCACAAAATATTAATTGCTTACATTTGCTAATCAGCTTAATTATAGAGTTGAATTGTTTGTGTTAATCTTTAAGTCTGGAGCACTACATTAGATTATTTTATTAAACTTCTTAATGTATACAATATTATATATATACATGATGAAAGACCAAAGCTACTAACATCATTAGCAATAGGTTTTTTCTTTCTTTTTTTAATCTAGCTATTTGTGGAATTGGAAGGCAAACAATATATACATATTATAAACCTGTTTTATTTATAGTATATTTTATTTATTTTGCAATCAATTCTTTTGTTGACGCCAATTCAAAAATGGGTCCAACAATTAAATGTGTATTAGTTTGTGTAAACAAGCATACGGCAATCGGTGATTTCTCTTTTAACACTTAAAACCTAAAAACTCTCTTTTTTTTATTCCACGAGCGATCATCGTTGGTGAGCTCTCCCAGTAATCACTCATTTCCCTGTTTGGTTTTTGTTTTTTTTTTTTTCAAATAATTTTTAAATCTGTAAACAGATCTAAGTTATTGTCGCCTAAATATTGAGATTTATTGTTGCTCATATCTTGAGATTTTGTTCTCAGATTTAGTTCTGAGTTATTGTTATCACCAGTATGGTGATTTTGTTTAGCATTCTGCCAATTTGATAAGATACTTTAAATCAAGATTGTCTTTTTTTATTTTTTGTATAAGTGGTTTATTAGTAAACTTTCTATATAAAAATATAAAAACATATCGATCTGTATCCCATATCTGTATACAGTTTTTAAATAATGAAATTTTTAGTTTGATTTCTTCTCAAAAAAAAATTCTATCTCATTATTAATAATTAAATTTCAAATATTTTTTCTTTAAACTTCTACAAATCCTTGAAATTTATAGTATATAATGAAAGTCAAATAATGAACCAAATAGTTTAAATTAGGAGTCTTCGTGTTTCTGTTCGATACCGTTTGGTTTAAAGATTTATTTAAATTGAATTTATAATGGTTGTTTGTAAAAAATTCAAATCGAATCAAATGATTAAAAATATTAAAATCAACTGAATCTATGAATGCGATTTGGTTCAGTTGATGCTGTATGTATATATCGTTTTCAGCTTTTTTTTTTTTTTTTTTTTTTTTTTTTTTTTTTTTTTTTTTTTTTTTTTTTTTTTTTTTTTTTTTTTTACGGCCTCAGGAAATAAAATTAAAACATATATTTCTTTATTCTTCAATCTTACAATAATTTTTGCATTTTAATTCTTTCTTAAGTCATTAATTAAATTAAAATAATTTTTAGCCTGGAATTTAAATGTTGATATTATTAGTCATATTCTTTCTCCATTTATTACTAAAAAAATTATTAAAACCATAGATTAACCCATTTATAATTTTTACATAATATGTAACTAATGTTGCTGATAAAAAAAAATAAAACTTTCATATTCTATAAAATAATTATACCATGATTTATCTAATTAATATAAACTATATATAGTTTAATTGCCGCCAAATATATAACAATAGATGCAAAGGAAATTATCATTCACAAATTTCATTGAATTATTTATCATTAATTCATTGATTTATCATTTAAGATTCTTTGTGTATTTTTAGGCAAAGAAAAGAAGTTAAAAAGGCACTTACTCATACAAACATGACTGTTTGGGAACAAATAATCGCTTGTGAATGGATATAACTGTTTGTGAAAATAAAATAAAATAAATATTGTTTTTCAAACCATCATTGAATTATATTACTACTTCCGTCTCAAAAAGATAATCATCTTTTCTTTTTGATTTATCTCAAAATATAGTCTATTTTTCTTTTTTTTTTTTTTTGCATTATAGTGAATTCTTAAATTGTCTATTATACTCTTATTAAATTTTATTTTATTTTCAATAACCCTCGTTAAATTATACTTATTGCTCT